ACAATGGTTCCAGGAGTCCATTCCTTTTCCCCGAGTACGTCACTATCATTCAATGAACTCATAATGTACATTTTAATTAGAACGTTACCACAACAGTTTGTTCTGAAATCAATGGTGTGACATTTATCTGAAATGCATTCTTTAAAAATTGTTATTATACTTCTGTCTTGTCGACGATTAAATATTTATCTTGTTTAAGTACAAAAATAATGACGGACAATTAATAACGAGAATCGCTTAGAAAATTAATTTCATTAAATAATCACGCGAGAATAATTGTGCTGGTAGGTATATAAAAATTAATTACTACGAAAAGCACCATTATAACTCAAATATTTATTTACAGTGAATTGTTTGATGGTAAACCGTACTCGTGATTAGGCTATTGCTCACAGTTTTAAGATGTTTTTTACGAGACGAAAACGTTTCTTAATATTAAAAAAAATAAATACATAAATTTTAAAATTGTTCACTGAATTTGTTTGTTAAATAATAGTTAAAAATGATCGCTGTATAATCATGTTTTTACAGTAGTTATTGTATTTAATCTGAACGGTTGAAAACGTTTATTATTAGTCGTCGGTTCTAGAATAATTAATAGTACTAGTATACCGGGGATGTGTGCGGTATTATAATATTTTCTATATTATTCCGAACCAAACACGATCGGTGTAACCTCTTGACCTAACCCAATTATTTGTTATCGCATGTTAAATTTGTCGTGTTGTTGCGTGTACGACCTTGCACACTTTATCCTGTACATGGTTCACTCGGACGTACCGTGCGAGCAATGTAACACAATGATAATCGCAATACAGAAACGGATTTTTGGTTTGCTCCGAATAAATACGGAGAACAACAACAATACATTTTTTGTACGTTCTCATCTTGCTACTCGCTACGCGTATTATCTTGGGTAAATCTAAACGAAATGCTTTTTTCCAGTTTTCACCGTTAAGTAATTACAAAACTTGGGGGAGGCTACACTTCTAGGGGTCGCAATGTCGAAGCCTCTTGAATTCGGCCATGCTACAATAGCATCAAAGTAAATGACAACGTGAATCTCATCAAAAATTCGGATCTTACAAATACTTTAATTGCTTTCTACGAATGTGGACATTATACAACGTCCAACGTTCCTCGTGAATGCTCCTAGTTGGATAGTACAAACATATTATTAATATGAAACGTTTCTAAATGTGATCAACATATTGGTGTAAAAATGCTGTTCCTGTAGCAATGAATCCATATAAAACGTTGAGTTCTAAACACAGGGCCGGCTCAAGCGAAAAAATGCACTAGGCAAAATTTAATTTTGCTACCTCTAAAATAAATAAAAAATTAGCTCTAATTTTTACATAGCCCCTCTCTTGTTCTTTTGTAACACACCTATTTGAAAAATATTTTAATTTAATTAATTAAAGTGTTGGGACTATTGTGATGTTTTTCATTTATTTTTTATTTTAACGCCAAATTTGTAAAATTATAAAATTTATTATAGTTGAATATATACATAATATATATATATTCAACATAGTTGAATGCAATTATAATTGTTTAATCTCCGACGTATCATAATTTATGTTAATATTATTATTATTTATCGATATTTTTAGTTTACTGCAAATCTCAGACCAGACCCTCTATCGAAACCGTCCAACACGAGCCGTTGGCTTATCGGAGGGTTGCAAATATTAAAAACTCTTATTATTTTCAGTTAAATGTTATTGCAATAGCGTACGGCAAGTACAACATGGAAATCGTTCGCGAAAATAAATTGCTATCATTGTCGTTTAAATTTGTCGTAATATTTTCGGATAAAGGATCGAGACGTTTGACGTATTACGGATCGAGATGACGCGGAACAATGCGTGCAAGGACGATAAAACGATTCCGTTATAGGAACAAAACAGCACATGAGTTCGGTGCACCGACGCGCACGGTGGGGAATAAAACATATTTCAACAACTACGTCACGCGCTTGGATCGTTTGAAAAATATGAAAAACAATTTCGCGGAAAATGATAAGTAATGAAATCAACGCGTTCGTCACACGATTATTTTAGCTGTTTAAGCTTTAAGTGTATAACCGATGGTTGTTGAAATGTAAACGTACCATACACAGTGGCAACGGAACAGAAATAGATAATGCGAAATGTATCGGACGGACAGAAACGGACGGTTTCGACAAGAAACGTCCGGAATGCATAGGCACCGGTTGGCCACGGTTAGGGATCGTAGAACTTGACGCAATGGCAGTGATAAGGGTGGGGGGGAGTTAATCAAGCCCCCTCCCCTGGGTATTTACTTTTTTTATTTTAATTTATCGGTGGCCCAACAACACCTGCCAGCAAATTTCCAATAACAATTATAAGATCAATTTCATAAGTCAGTACATTTATATCTTTTATTTTTAATACATTTATGTCAGTGTGTTAATATTATTAATGTATAACCGTTATTAAACGTTTATACCAATAATCCGTATGTACATACATAAGTAATTGCTATGACGTGGGGGAGGGTCGGATTTATTTTATTTCCGACTCGACGGATGAATCGCGTGAACGCGACGGTCAGCAACACCACCTGATAAGACGTCGGCGTAAATAGAGGGGCGCAAGAGGGTTTTGAGCACTCCCGAGTTCAAATTTAGTGCTCGGGGGTTTTTTTTTTATTCAGATCTTCATAATCCATAGTAATTAGAGTGAAATACCATTCAATTTTAGCACCCCCCAATATTAGGACCCTAGTTACGCCTACGGGCGCAAGATTAACGTTAACAAAAATACCGTTGGATATTCGCTCACAAGTGTTCGCAATCGCGGTCACGCGAAAAATATTTCCTCAAACGCGCGCGCGTGTTACGCACGTGCACAATGTCGCATTGCATTGTTCTGCGAACAACGGCGTACGATTGTTATTGTTGTTTCGACCCCTGTGGATCGCAACGGTGCCAGTTTCGTTTTTATTTTTCTCGCCCGAAACAATCGCCAGGCGGAAGCGCCGCACCGCGAACAAGGAACAAGGGCTACAGGTGAGATGGACGTGCGCAACAATTCGCATCGTGTTCGATTTGCATAATTTACGATTCGCATAATGTTATAAATAGTCGAAAACATGACCTAATACAGTAAAAATACGTCAACCACGGTGCTACTCGTTCCATTAATATCAATGATTGTACATACGTAGAACTAGAACTTTTAAATTCTACAACTAATAGTTGATAAACAACTATAGTGAATGTTCGGAAAAATTTTCAATGTTCTACGAGTAATATTTCATACTCCGAACACTTATACTACTGGTACGGATTGCCTACGTGTTGGCTTACTTGACTCGTAAATAACGCACAAGAGCACCGTCGTTATTCATAAGGCGACGTTCGATTGGGGTCCGCGCGCGAGGTCACGTTCGAATAATGACAGGGTACACCGTCCAAAAAACACGCGTTCGGTTTGAACGAGAAACACACTGAGGGGGTCTTTGCCCGTAACCTTCGACGGTCAGATATACAGGGTGCACCGTTATTTACCAGACGTTTTACTCGAATGGCGTTCCGTACGCGAGGAAACCACCTAAAAACGACGACTCGCACCGCGAGGGCAGGATCGGCAATCCCGGTGGAAGGGTCGAAAATCGGTCGAAGGAATAATATAATCGTTGCCGAACGATTCGTGTTCTACCTCACGTCACCTGGAACCGTCGACGGGCACAGATCGACTCGTGAAATCGTATCGGCCGCGGTGCAAATGTTTTCGGACCCTGCATCGACCGGTCGCGCGCGTAGATCCGTTTCGAACGCGTCGAAATTCAATTAAAAAAACCGTATTGTTAATCGCTATCACTACTGCAGTGCGTATTGTTATTGTTATCGTTTTGTGTTGTCTCGACAGTTTCAATAACAGCGCGCGCTATCTTTACGGTCACGGCGGCGTCACGTGTCGCAGAAAATATGACATTGTGACGGGGATTTCCATAAAAAAAAAAATGAATAAAAATAGAAAAAACCTACGATTCGCAGACGTGTATCGCGTATTAGACCTTGAGCTTGTGAGGCTTGTGATGCCATTGAGGGGGCCAGCAGGTATCCGAACGGCGATATTGCGTCGTTGCGACGAATATAATACAACGGTCCGTCATAATGACGCGTTCGACGGATGACGGTCGCGGCGGAGCGGTGCCTACGGATGTGGTCGGGGAGCGAGAGTAAAAAATAAATATGAAATTCGTCGGTGCCATACTCTTCTTAAGCATTTCGTTTGATTTTTTACGTTATTTTTCCAATCCGGCGTGGACAAATTAAATTAAATATATTACATCCACGTCGCAGTACACTAGCTACCAACAGTGCCAAACGGACGGACACATCACCGTTATAATAATGATGATAATAATAATATTAATAATAATAATAATAATAATAATAATAATAATAATAATAATAATAATGGTGTTAAATAACAATCCAATGACGCATTATCAAAAAAAAAAACAT